GTAATAGTAATAGTAATAGTAATAATAATAATAGTAATAATAATAATGATGATAACAATAATAATAATAATAATAATAATAATAATAACAATAATAATAATAAAAGAAACACAAAAAATGAATTATAATGCAATTCTGTGTACGTATATTTGTACGTGAGCGTGTGTCTGTCACCACGTGCGTCGTGCACCCGACCGATATCAAATATTTTAGAAATCCGAATTTATCTCTTTTTTTTTTTTTTTTTTTCAATTTAACGACAGTGCATTTTTAATGTGCGTTTTTTGAATCGAATGAATTGAAACGTTAACTGTATTTTTGTAGTCAGAGAAAGAAAACGTGAGGTGAATCGGTACATGCGAATCATTGTAAACGTGCATTCAACCACTGTAATTAAAGTGGAGGATCGTATTGAGCATTCTTGATCGAACGATCGACAGAAAGAAATATTGAAACGATATAATAATACAATAGATTTAAATTTATCTTTTATTTTTGCAAAGAAAAAAAAGTGCAATCAATAATATTAGAATCAATTAATAATAATGTTTCATTTCTTTCCATTGCACAAATTTTTTTTTTTACTTTTTAATGATAAAAATAATTAACATTCATTTTTTTTTTAACAATAAATAAATTTGATATTTTGAATTTAACGTTATATAGCATTGATTATTAACTTAAAAACGAATACAGAATATTTAATATAAATACATATTACGAATCGTTAAATAATAAGATAATAATCGTCTTCGGATCGATCAAGAGTAATTTTGAATATAATTTTTAATACGAAACATGCGACGTGCTCGCGATTTAATTTACTCTTAGAGTTAAAACTTTCTTGCGCAGTGTCAATGTCTATTTGTCTATGCCACACGCTGTCAAAAACGATCGTATAATATATTTATTAACGCCACCTTCTCTTTTTATACGATATACTATTAAAAAATTTCAAACAAATCAAATAAATCAAAAAAAAAAAATCACCAATTATTATCTAAAAACTTAAATGAATTTTAAATACAACAAATGAATTTTAAATACACGTGGCATAAACGATCAGTGCATGTAACCTAACGCAAGAAAACGTCCGGAAAGGTTCATGCCTGGTGACCAGCGTGCGGCGATCAACGAACGCAAGAGACCTCTACGAACGTACCAGGGACATATTACTAGATTACTTCCTCTAATGGATTCTAAACGAACTATTACGACAGAAAAAGTAAAATCGAAACGAGGACTCGTAGATAAGAAGCGATTAAATTTGGCCAATGGCCAAAAAGGGGAGAAAAGAGGTATCAAGTGCTATTCGAAATAAGCGGACAGAAGAAAATAAAAGCATTCGAGCTCGAGTGACAAGTGAGAAGTAAGAATAAAAGAACAAACATTAACAATAAATAAAAGAGAAGAAAAGGCGGGTAGAGAAGATTATAGGTGAGGTAGAAGTGACGTGATTACCGATGCACACAACACGCGCTATTGCTCACCAATTGGGCGCAGTACGGCACCTGCAAGGATACCCATCGTTAGGCTAGTCAGGTTAGACATTCACGGCTGATGTGTATTTATGTTATGAAATGATATGAGATTAAGAATTTCGCAGCATGATTACACAACACTCCGTTCGCTCTTTCTATGTTAATTATCTTATTTTAACACATCAGCCCATCTCTCCTCGTCGATTTATTTCATATATTCATATTTAAACGTATGTCTGACTTAATTATTTTTTGCTCTTTGAAAATTTGTTTATAGATTCTATGTTACTTTTTTTTCCTTTTTATTAATTCATTTATTTATTTTTTTAATAATTTCCTCATTCTACAATTTTATAATTTACCAAAACAGATTAAAAATTTATTTAAAAATATTAATATTATCAATATTTTTGCTATTGATTCTGTTTTCCTTTTGTTATGTAAAATAGATTATAATAAATTGACGAGGTCGAGGTCATGCTACGCTTAGTTGTAAATGAAATCGAATTGAAAATTAGTCGTTATTAGGCGAATATACGTACTGAACACGATCCATGCAGGGCCGACCCGAAGCAATAAGAGTTTTTTAACTCGAATCATATGAAAAATAGATCAATATTGATCAGAGTTTTACGTTTTGCGCGCATGATTTCGGTTGGTACTACGCGGCAGTGTTCAAAAAAAGTTTATACGATATGTAAATGATCACCGTGATATGTGAAAATCTAACGATACGATAACTTACGATTTACCCATATAATACTTATTTTTCTTGATTTTCGTTCAAGCTATTTAATATCTGATTCATACAAGTGAGCAAGGGTTAAAACGAAAAAAGAGAGTATAATAATTATACAATTGATTAAATAAAAATTACTACAAAATAATAATAATAATAATAATAATGATTACAACGATAACAGTTAATTAATAAACGGCTTTCGTTTCTACGTTACGTACAATACGTGATTATTTTGATCACGAATAAACATGCATATTAAATACACATATGAATATACGGTGCCGAATTAGAAATGTCGTCTTTCTTACTTAAAGTGAAAGATTAATAGTATAATAATAATAATCATAATAATAACAATAATAATAATAATAATAATAATAACAATAATGAACACTGCCGCGTGCAAGGCAGCTAACGAAAAAACATTGCACATAATAGTCTACACTAACTTAGGGACGCCCCTGAACGTATCTCGTACGCTAGTAATTGATAAAACAGATATCCGAGTTGAAATAATTTACAAGTGGTGAATACAGCATCAGATAATTTGCATAATATTAGCACGACGCAATGGTAGCTCACGCCGAGAGAACATATTTCTAAATAAGTTTAATTTAATCCAAGACTTCAGCCTTTGAAGCAGGTTATCTGTAATTCTTAATATATATACTATATTAAATTTGATTAGATTCGATTGATTCGAATAGATTTTAATTATTAAACTATAAATGAGTGTTAATCAGTTTTAAGTACTCTAATGCCAACTTAAGTCTAGCTTAATTCTATTCTATGCTTAAATTTTATTCTAAAAAAATGTTAAGGTTAAATTATGTTTCAACTACTTGAAATTTTAAATCAATTCATTCTAAATTTTATATTGTTATCATTCTAAATTATTCTAATCAATCTGATGATTATGTGAAGTAAAACTATACTATGTGTATAAGTGAGATTATATGATTCAGTCAGTCATCATTCATATGTACTTCAAAGACTTTAAAGAAAATAGAATTTTGAAATAGAATTTAATTTCAAGTTTTCTCTCAGCGTATAAAGAATAAAATTTTAGCGCAATTAGGCTTGCAAAAAGTTGACTCGCGTTATACACACCGCAAATAATGGCATACTGGAAATAAATGATAGTCAATATATGTATAGGTACCTTGTATTATACGAGGGTTACCTACTAATACGATAAAAAAATGACAGTGAGACGAAAACAAAGAGAAAAAAAAAAAAATGATAAAAAAAATAAATTTATATGTAAATGTGTGTGATTTTAGTTAAACATGTGGCGGATAATTTATTATAAGTTAAAGAAGATCGTATAATAGTTATTATTTTCAATAGTTTTCAAATTATTTACAAAAAGTTAGTAAATTATTTATAAAAAAGAAATACAAATATTATATTATAAATACAAAAAGTTAATAAAATATCATTTTTTAATTAATTCAAAAATTTCAATAGATACAATTACATTTACAATTAAATAATTAATACATATGTTAAATAATTACATGAATGCTAATAACTATTTATACAGAATGCAAATAATGTTAAATTAATGTTTACTTCAGAATTTGAAGTCATCGCAATTAAAGCTTATGGAAATATAGATAAAATTATTTCAAGTACAATATTAATCCGCCACATGTATTATGTAAATATATAAATGTATTTTAAATGATCGCTTCCCGCACAGCAACTGGTCGCACCTCGTAGGAACACAGTAAACGTAATTGATCAGACGCAGGACAGATCCACGGCTAAATGAAGGCGATATTTAGTTTTTTTTATTTATTTACTGACCTTGAATATCTTGATTTCATGTGAAAAGAGAACACGATAAAAAGAAATTCTTTTCTAACATTTATCTATGTTATAAACAAGTGTTATTAGATAACAATTTATTACAAATATGAATATATCTTGTTTCATCAGCATAAAGAAATTAGAAAAAGAATATTCTGCTAAAAAATGATTATACATTATTAATTTTAAAATCTATTGTTTAAGGCACAGTTTCTCCATAACGATTCGTGTCTCTCTTTCCTCACGAACCCCCCTATCTTATTCGTATCTTGTGAGACGAATGACTCTGCGGTCCCCCGATGTTACCACAGCCGGACATCCTTCTTACCTTGCACTCGCACGTGGTGCACTTGTCATGAGGATCCTGCCAGGAGCTGCCACTCTCGTGAATAATTCCAGAATAGCTGCAAGGTTGTGGCCTAGTTAATATCGAGAGAGAGGTGTCATTTCCAAACGTTTCTCTCGCGCAGGGATCGTCTTCACAACGAGGACAACAATCCCCATCCTCTGTCACAGGGTTTGAGCAAGTCACTGGTGGACATTCCATTTGCCAGCAGTCTACCTCGCCGTACTGAAATAAATCATGTGATAATTCTAAACACTTCAAATTATAAAAAAGCCTAAATCTTTAAATATGATTATTAAAAATAATATCTAATTTTTTTTTAGAATTTTTTTTTAGAATTTAATTTTTTATAAAACGTAAAAGATAAAACTTTATGATCCAGATCACTTATTTTTGAATAATAATTTTGTTCCGAATATAAAAAAACTCGCTCAGAATCGCTCAGAAATAGTAACGATATTATTTTATAATTAAGATAATGATTTCGAATAAATATAAACATTTATGGTTTTCATTTTCACGAAAGATAATTGCTTATTGCGGATCAAGATTGTTTGAATAATATATTCTATTTAGCAATAATTAGATCATAGAAGATTAAAAATGGATGTTATTAAAAAAAAATGAAATCGATCATATAATTTTTATTAGTGCCATTACCAGGCATTCACAAGTCTGACATTGATATATCCATCGTTCGCCACTTCTGAAGACTAGATGATGAAGTTCTTGATGCCTACAGGAAGCCGCAGGATCACATTGGGGACAACACTTATCCCGATGACTTCCCGGAGCGCTGCAATCGCAAATCGGGTCCCTACATGTAACAACACCATCTTTGCAAGTGCATCTCCTACAGGGATTTTCGGCTGGTGCTAGAGTTTCTCCGTTTTTCACTTCTTGATTTTCGAACCAGCAACCTATTAACCATACAATATCTTTACTTCTCCCTTATAAATATTTTTCTAAACCATTAAAATTCGATAATGGAAAAATCCCTAGAATTATAATGTAAAAATATATACTTACTCAGTCTACATTCCTCCATAGTACTGTTTTCCTCTTGAAGCGGGCAAATACATTCATAACCACCCTCGGTATTGACACACTTAGCGCTAGGATGACAGGTATGCCTCCTCTCGATCGTTTGGTCATTGCACTCATCGATATCGAGACATTGTGTACCCTGAGTACTATCATGGAGGGCGCTTCTGTAACCCGGTTTACAACGACAATAATACCAACCGGGCATATTGAAACACGTTGATGATTGATGACACCGATGCAAATCACTCGCACACTCGTCCAAATCTAATTCACAACTATTGCCTATGTAGCCACGCCGACAGGAACACCTTCCCGGCGCCACGCATTCACCGCCATTTTGACAGGTTTGATTGCAAACAGCTAAAGAAGTTGAACAAAAAATTTTTTAATTTAAAACAACAGGAAGACGGAATTAGGACATGAGAAAAACATCATAGAGAATAAACATACGTTTGCATGTGTAACCATCGCCAGTGTAGCCATCTTCACAGATGCAATAGTAACTTCCTGCTGTGTTCACGCAGGTGGCGTGCTCATCGCACGCATGATGACCAGTCGCACACTCGTCTAACTCGGCGCAGTTGAATTTGTCTACTCTGTGGTAACCCGGAAGACACTCGCACGTGTAAGAGCCATTCACGTTCACACATTTAGTGTTCGCGTTACAATGGTGCCCCTCGGAGCCACCTTGCTGTTTGCATTCATCTATGTCTGTGACGTATTTAATCAATTATTTTAAATTAATTTACTTTAATAGAAAGACCCTCAAATGATCTGAATAACCAATCAATTCTATACTATATAGATAAAACTAAATAACATTTTATTTAAGGTCATTTGAAGGTCAAAATATACATTCTACTAAAATAAATAGAACGACGAGAATAATTTTTAAAGTGTAAAAATATAATTTTAGAAAAAAAAAATGTATTTATTTCTATCACATAATTGCCAAAACCATCTTTGTTTTAAATTCATTTAAATAATTATTATTTCACGAATCTAAAACGATTATCTATAAACAAATCGATTTGAATTTAAATATTATGGAAACATGAACACACACATTACTAATTTTGGTAATGACAATCACGGAAAATTTATTTCTTTGATATGACTATCGATAAAATCACGGATGAACAAACACATGCTATATGATTATGTGTGTACTAACATCGATCTTCTATATATTTAACGATGAAGGGTCGACCGACGGAAATATCACGATCGCCATCTCAGTGGATTTAATTGAATTAAAGGCTATTAAATATCGACGCAAAGAAAAAAGAGAAGAAAAGACACACAAAAAAGAGAGAGGGCAAAGTTAGAGAAGCATTAGGTACCGTGACAGTTATGACCGTCCCCCTGGAAACCGATATCGCAATGGCAGGCGTACGTTGTCTGCAGATTCAGGCAGGACGCATTAGCATGACACTTGTGGCCCTTCGCACAGTAGTCCACCCCTGGTTAAATTGGGTTAGCCAGGAAAATGCAGAGATGGTTAGAAAATTTAATTATTAGCGTTGGATCAAATGGTTAGAATTTGTTTTTTTCTTGGTTTAGATATTGCTTGGCTGCCATGCCATTTAGGATATGAATATTGTATATTATAGCAGAAAAGAGGAAATTTTGCCTAGGGATTTTTTAATGTGAGTACCATAAAATGGCATGCATCGTTCTTATCATTTGTAATTAAAGAATTTTAGTAATAAATGACGATTGAATCATAATATCGAATCCAGCCCTTAGCAAAATTTTGCTTAATATATATAAAAAATATATATTTGAATTAAAAAACTTATGACAAATTGAATAGATTTAGTATATTAAAATCTCTTAAGATTTTTGCCATGGGTTGTATAATCAATTATGGTTAATTATTATACAGTTTAAGCACGATTCTATAAATGATTTTTTTTTCAAAATATTAAAATTAATAATACTTAATGATTATTAAGCTATCAAATATTATCGTCATACGTATGAACGATTGCGATTCACTCTCAATTGAACGTATTCTTGTAAACATCGAAGAAGATTAATCACGATAATGAATATCACAAAATATTTAGTGATTTGAAGTATGCTTCTATAAATAACCATACCCGGACAGAACTTGCAGCATTCTTCGGCTACGCTGATCTGCTCGCTCGGTGGACAGGGCAATGGCGGACATCTTGTTTCAGTGTCGAATCTCTGGCAAGTGAAGCTGCCATCGAAACAGTCGCATTCTACGCACTGTTTCGGCGAAACTTTCTCACCGTGATCGTAAATTACTCCGTGCAAATAACATTGCTCTGAAGGCAATTATTGATCATATAATATTAATATTAATAATTGACATATAACATAATTAGAAAAAAATTTGGAAAATGTTTTCAAATTATTTTTAAAATCAATCACTAGATAAAGATTAAGCTTTCTTCTTTTTATCCTCTGATTTAAATTACACACAATTTAAGATTATAATTTTTAATTTAAAAAAGTAATATGATACTTACTTAAACATATAGGACAACATTGTCCTTGAGGAATGACAGGATTCTTGCAGGTTACAGGCGCACAGGGTGTCGGTCTGCACTCAATCTCCCCATGAACGCAGGAACACTGTTGGCAACCCTTTTCCCAGGTCGCACCATCCTCGTGAACGGTGCCATTTGCCCTGCACGACTTTTGGCACTCGCACTCCTCCACTTTGCTTATCCTGCCCTCTGCAGCGGCTAGCTAAAAGGAAGGATGGGAATGAGAGAAAACCAAAGTTATCTAGTTACTTTTCAAAATCGTATTCTTTTATATATATATAATGATTAGAAACTTGACCAAAAGACAAAAAGTAAATCGAACCTGGTGAAGAGATATACTCACCCTACGCGTGAGCTCGTTGAGATTATGCATCAGCTGTTCCACTGTGTTTTGTAATATAGAAAATTGACCGCAAGTGGGACAAGACGAATCAAGTTGGGGACATTGGGAAAGGTAGCCATGGGGGCCTGGTATCAGCTTCACATCCTGCAAAGCACCCTGTGGCGCGAAAATCGTACGAACTTATCTCAGTTGATTAAAATTTCGAATTCTTAAAAAGATTATAATCACGTTCCATTTTTCTTTTTTCCTTTTTTTTTTCTTTTTTTATAATCAAATATTAATATTTTGCTAAAAAGAGAAATAAGATAAAGAAAGATTAAGAAGAGGAGATCGTACCTTAAAGAGAAAGTGCCTGACATTTCTCTGGCCAACCCAGAGTTGTAATTGTGGCAAAGTGAAATTGGTGTCAGGTGGCCCAGGCCTAAGTAACCGCCTGTATAAAGGATGACAGTCGACGAGCAGCTCGACCTGCGAGCCGCTTACACTCAGGGCGACCCTGTGCCAAGCGCCATCGGCCAGACGAAAAGGGAACGCCTCCACGTGGACACTACCGTCCCGGCGTGATACATAATGCAGTCGAAGTTCGTCTTTACGGCCGCTGCTCTGCAGCTCCAAATATCTGAATACATTTTGAATACATATTGAAAAAAAATTTTTCTAAGTTAATAATTAATAATTTCACAAGTTTTCAATTAAATTTAAAATTATTAA